TATTCGGTACTTTTTCGAATCTATTTTTCGAATTTTCGATTTTTTTATTTTCCAATTTTTCAATTTTTCGGCTTTTCGATTTCTCGGTTTTTCGATATTACGACGTTTCGATCTTTCTTGAATTCATGATTTTTCAACTTTTCGATTTTTTTTCGATTTCCCTATTTTTCGATGTCTCAAATTTTCTATTTTTCAGTTTTCCGGTTTCTCGATTTTTCTACTTTTAAATATTCAAGTATTTTGATTTTTCCACATCGCAATTTTACAATTTCTCGATTTTTATATTTTCCTACTTTTTGTTTTCTCAATTTTTCAAGTCTTCGATCTCTGGATTTAAGGAATTTTCGAGTTTTTAATTTTTGGGCTTTTCGAATTCTACATTTTTCGATATCTAATTTTTTGATTTTTGCTTTTTCCATTTTACAAGATCTCGATTTTTCGAAGTTCCACTATTTCATATTTTCGATTTCTTGATTTTCCAAATTTCCGGTTTCTCGATTTTTCAATTTTTAGATACACAAGTTTTTGATTTTTCGACACTGCCTATTTTTTAATTTCTCGGTTTTTCGGCTTTTCGATCTCTCGAATTCTCGATTTCCCGCTTTTTCATTTTTCGACTTTAAGGTTTCCCAATTTCTCAGTTTTTCGATCTCTGGATTTCTTTCGATTTAGTTTTTCAATTTTTCGATTTTCTTTAGATTTTTCTATTCCTCGATTTCTCCAATTTTCGGTATCTCAATATCTCGACTTTTCGCTATTTCTTTCGAATCTAATATTTTTCGAATTTTCGATTTTTTTATTTTCTGATTTTTCAAATTTTCGGCTTTTTGATTTCCCGGTTTTTCGATATTACGACGTTTCGATCTTTCTTGCTTTCATGATTTTTCAACTTTTCGATTTTTTTTTTCGATTTTCCGATTTTTCGATATCTCAGTTTTTCGATTTTTAATTTTCCGGTTTGTAGATTTTTCAATTTTTATGTAGGCATTCAAGTGTTTTGATTTTTGACATTGCAATTTTTATATTTTTTGTTTTTTGTGTTCTCAATTTTTCAAATCATCGATCTCTTGATTTAACGAATTTTGGGTTTTTCAGTTTTTGACCTTTTCGAATTCTACATTTTTCGATATCTTAATTTTTTGATTTTTCGATTTTCTTTCGATTTTTCTATTCCTCGATTTCTCCAATTTTCGGTATCTCAATATCTCGACTTTTCGCTATTTCTTTCGAATCTAATATTTTTCGAATTTTCGATTTTTTTATTTTCTGATTTTTCAAATTTTCGGCTTTTTGATTTCCCGGTTTTTCGATATTACAACGTTTCAATCTTTCTTGATTTCATGATTTTTAAACTTTTCAATTTTTTTTCCATTTTCCGATTTTTCGATGTCTCAGTTTTTCGATTTTTCAATTTTCTGGTTTGTCGATTTTTCAGTTTTTATATTGGTATTCAAGTGTTTTGATTTTTGACATTGCGATTTTATAATCTCTCGATTTTCATATTTTTTTATTTTTTGTTTTCTCAATTTTTCAAGTCTTCGATTTCTGGATTTAACGAATTTTCGATATTTCAATTTTTGGGCTTTTCGAATTCTACATTTTTCGATATCTCAATTTTTTGATTTTTCGCTTTTTCCATTTCACAAGATTTCTATTTTTCGATGTTCCACTATTTCATATTTTCGATTTCTTGATTTTCCAAATTTCCAGTTTCTCGAATTTTCAGTTTTTAGATATAGGTACAAGTTTTTTGATTTTTCGACACTGCCTATTTTTTAATTTCTCGGTTTTTCGGCTTTTCGATCTCTCGAATTCTCGATTTCCCGCTTTTTCAATGTTCGACTTTAAGGTTTCCCAATTTCTCAGTTTTTCGATCTCTGGATTTCCCGGATCCTAGATTTTTCGACTTCTCGTTCTTTCGATTTAGATTTTTCAATTTTTTGATTTTCTTTCGATTTTTCTATTCCTCGATTTCTCCAATTTTTGGTATTTTAATACCTCAACTTTTCGCTATTTCTTTCGAATCTATTTTTCGAATTTTCGATTTTTTTATTTTTCGATTTTTCGAATTTTCGGCTTTCTGATTTCCCGGTTTTTCGATATTACAACGTTTCAATCTTTCTTGATTTCATGATTTTTAAACTTTTCAATTTTTTTTTCATTTTCCGATTTTTCGATGTTTCAATTTTTCGATTTTTCAATTTTCCGGTTTCTCGATTTTTCTATTTTTAAATATTCAAGTATTTTGATATTTCCACAATGCGATTTTATAGTTTCCCGATTTTTATATTTTTCTATTTTTCGTTTTCTCGATTTTTCAAGTAGGTATTGGATTTTTAAATTTCTGGGCTTTTCGAATTCCACATTTTTCGATGTCTCAATTTTTTGATTTTTCGCCTTTTCCATTTTACAAGATCTCGATTTTTCTATGTTCTACACTTTCATGTTTTCGATTTCTTGATTTTCCGAATTTTCGGGTTCTCAATTTTTGAGTTTTTGGATATACAATTTTTTTCATTTTTCGACATTGCTGTTTTTTTTAATTTCTCTTTTTTTCGAGTTCTTGATCCCTCAAATTCTCGATTTCCCGATTTCTCAGTTTTTCGTTCTCTGGATTTCCCGGTTTCTCGATTTTTCTATTTTTAAATATTCAAGTATTTTGATTTTTCGACATTGCGATTTTATAATTTCTCGATTTTTATATATTTCTAATTTTCGTTTTCTCAATTCTTCAAGTCTTATTGATCTCTGGATTTAACGAATTTTCAAATTCCACATTTTTTGATATCTCGATTTTTTGATTTTTCGCATTTTCCATTTTGCAAAACCTCGATTTTCCGATGTTCCACTGTTTCATGTTTTCGAATTCTCGATTTTCCGAATTCCCGGTTTCTCTATTTTTCAGTTTTTAGGTATACACGTTTTTTGATTTTTGGACATTTCTGATCTTTTAATTTCTCAGTTTTTCGAACTCTCGGTTTTCCGGTTTTTAGATTTTTCAATTTCTCGATTTTCTTTCGATTTTTCGATTTTTTGAGTTTTCTATTTTTTATTTTCCGATTTTTCAATATTACGACGTTTGGATCTCTCGTGATTTCATGATTTTTAAACTTTTCGGTTTTTTTTTGGATTTGTCAGTTTTTCTACCGATTTCTGAAAGAGTTGATACATGAATCGTGACAAATTATCATAAAATGTTTCTTATTCCGCTTTTATTCGTGTTAAAATTTACTTTCTATATACCTACAGAAGATAATATTTCTAGAACAATTTTTTTCTCCAGTAAAAGTGTTTAAAAAAGTGCACAGTCATAGTCCATCATATTTTTCTCTAAAACAGTTCAAGATCAATATAATTTGAAAAACTAAAAAAAAATCGATTTTGTTTTAATCGAAAAAAATTAAAACTCAGACGACCAAAGAATAGAACAATGGTTACTATTACAGGGGTATACAGGGTGTTTACGAAATGACGCACTAAATATATGACACCTTGTTAAGGACTGTTGATTGAGCAAAGAACAAATCATTTTGAAAATCGTTAGTTCCAAATGTAGAAAATATAGAAAAAATTTGATTTTTCTTTTCGATATTTGACCATATTTTAAATCACCACTTAATGTTGTGTCCATGAAATTGACACACTTTCATTATTTAAAATAATTTTGGAAGCATCATGTCTTTATCCGTCGTTTTCTTCATTTTATAGTACCGAGTGACTATTCGTGTTTGTGATTTTTTTGTCAGGTTGGCAACCTACCTAAAATTTTATGATGGCTTGCCTGATAGTCAAATTGACATTTATGGCACCAAATCAGTAGTTGTCATGGTCTCAGCAAATCAACAGGTTTATTAGGCGTGCTGTTGTCAAAATATATTTTTTAATTATTTTAGAAAACTGCACCACTAGATTTGACACAACATACTTTCGAATTAAAAAAAATAGGTGTTTAATTAATCTTTTGTTTGATAAATCAAATTATTTTTTCAAACCAGGAGCGGAAATTCAAATTGCTATTATAATAAAAAAATAACAACTAAAACTTTGTTATGTCAAAGTGGTCCAGTTTTCTACGACCACGACTGTACCTACCGTTGAGTGTCAGTCCGGCATTTTTGAATTACCCTGTATATGATACTCTGTCCTATCGCATATGGAAAAACTAATAGAAAACAACTTTTAGGTAGATATTGGTTTTTGTTTTTCGCTCGTAAATTTTATTTTAATATAACTTCATTGTTCGTAATTTTTTTAAAGCAGAATTTCATTTCAGAATAATCGAATTGTTACGGCAAATGATTACGTCACTGATTGCTCATCATGTTACAATGCTTTTTATTCGACCACGAATCCTTCGGAATATTTTATTTTATCTTATAAATTGAATTAATCCAGTTTTTTATTAAAGAGGTTTTTAATTACCTATAAGTACAATTTTCAAATAGTTTCAATTTTAGTTAAAGCATTCAAAAAATCTGTAAAAGTGTTCACACCTAGGTTATTTGTTTCTGATCATTCAGTATCCCACGCATCTCAGACGTATTTTCCAGTAGAGATTTATTTAATAACTCTATACTCTATACAATGCAGCATCATCACTCATAAAGTTATTGTGTTTTCAAAACCGAACCCGTCTTCGTTATTTATAACTATAGCGGTTTAAATTTTTTAATCATCGTGGCGGTCTTACAAAATAAAAACTTATACATGAAGATGACTAACGCATTTCAGGAAAGATTTATTGAACAATTTTTGCAGATGATTCACAAAATTTCTTGAGGAAATCAACAAATTTAGGTTAATGTTTTATATTTCTTAACAGTCAGCGTTTATTAATATTTTGTAACAGCCTGTAAGACGTAAAATTTTAGTACAATTTATTTTATTACAAATATAAAAATTGTCTACGATATATAGCTGTAGGTTGAATTTGTTGTAATAATTTTCGTAAACTATGTACGATCATATTTGTATAACAATCAAAATTTGGTGCTTCTTACCACTGACTAAGTAGTTCTTGTTCCGATGGAACTCCTTTGGATAGACTAGAGAAAAGGCACTGTGCCTCGGCGGCAGGGGGGACAAGGGACTGGCGCTCCTGGACGACACTCCCGCCACAGGACTGCTCGCCGGACTACACGAGGGCGTCTCACTCCTGCTATATTGCGACAATACGGCCAGACGTGGCATCCTGCAAGGAAAAAAGGATAATGGCTAGAGGTGTGTGGTAAATCAATGCGTCCAAATAGTGTTGGGGCTAATGCTGTTTACATCCCCGGGGCACTCACGCGATGATTTCGTCTATTGATCACCGAGATTGTCGCGTAATTGCTTTGCTTTACTGTAAATGTACGGGAAATGGACATTAGTGTCTCATAACAATCAGACGTTGCCGGCCAAAATCAACACGCTACCTCCTGGATATCTACGTTTATAATTGATTCATGCGGTATAACGCCATTTGTATTGTTGGACGGTCGATCCTTATTTATTACGGAGGGTAATTTGGGGGGCCGACACGGAAAAGTGACATAAAACGAAAAAGTGCTGTTTGAACAAGAGAAAATGGGAAATGACCAGGTGCAACCGTGAAATGCTTTCTTTGTCAGGGTTGGCGATAAAAGCGTAAAAACCCATTCCAAAATGATAAAAAACAAAGCAAATTAAAACTGTAGAAATGAAGAACAAAAATATTGAACTATAATATCTACTATGAGCAAAATTTTTGGAGAGGTCAACAGCAGCAAGTATTTTCTCGAATTTCAAATCCGTGACTACATTAAGAATCAAGTCTCTAGAATTACCTCCTTCATTATAAGGTTTTTATGACATATATATTTAATGAAGAGTTTTTTACCGAAAATGTACGTACATACACCAATTTTCTGGGTTTTTTTGCGTTCCTCGTATTTTATTAGAATTATTTTTAATATTCTAAATAAAATTATGCTATTCTTTTTGTATGGTATTTAATACATATCTCTTACTCTATTCAGGTGTATATACCGGGTGTCTGAAAAATGGCGGATTAACTCTCTGCCACGCTCTTAACAATCAAAGGATTTGTCATTTGGCAAAATCAGTCTTATTCTAGCTAGTAGCTGCTAAGATAAAACTGATTTTGGCAAATGACATACCTTCCAAGAAAAGAGAGGGTGGGTGGGCGGGACTAGTACCTACTAGGATAAAACTGATTTTAGCAGGTACTAGTAACGCCCACCCGCCCTTTATTTTCTTAGATAGATCTGATTTTCCAAAGTCAGTCTTATCCTGTTTTTTTTTTTGGTTTATTAATTATTGAAAAATAACAACTTGTTTTATTAATAATAATGCAACGATTAATGACTACTGGTTGTTGTGGTTATTGTCTAAAAAAAAAATAAAAAGTGAATTTTAGTCACCATCGAAATCAGAAAGTAAGCATGCATTCGGTGCGTGGAGTGTTGCCAATTTTACTTTTATAAAATTACGTTTTTTCCGAAATCTACATCATAAAGACTTTTTTATTATTTTTTGAGGACTCCCGAAATCCCCGTACATAATATACTGAAGAGTTGATCCGCCATTTTCCAGACACCCGGTATAACATGAAATATTGATAATAAAACAATGTGTATAATAGCTTCCCTCCCTGAAAGAGCACGAATCAGTTTTTTGTGTGGGGTTCCATAATCATTAAATCCTACCCTATTAATGGGTCTTCTACCTGTTAAGATAAGAGTGATTTTGGCAATGAGACCCTCTAAGAATCTAGTGAGCGGGCGGGCGTCATTAGAATGAAGAGGGGGTGGGTGGGCGGGGCTATTGCTAGCTTATAAAAGGTTCTGTAGGAAAAAGTTAAATTTAGTCCCGCCCACTCACCCGTTGTCTAATTTTTTCGAAAATAGGAGTGAACAATATTAAGAGTAGTCACTAAAATGAAGAGGGGGTGGGTGGGAGGGCCCAGTGCTTGCCTATGAAAAACTCTCTAGGAAAAGTTATACTTAGCCCCGCCCACCCACCCGAAATAAATATAACAAATTGTACAACAAAAAGTTACGATTGGCGCTTTTTTACAGCCTATTTTCGATCAGCTAATTACAGCTCTGCAGAAGAACATATAACAAACCCGCCCACCCACCCGACTCCATTTCGGTTATTAATTTTATATAAAAAAAAAGTACTACCCCAACTGAAGAGAAGAAACAAAGGAAATTTAAAGCATGTTTATAACAGTAAATTTTGTATTCTCACAGGGGCTGTATAAAATAAAAGAAACACGTGGTATAATTCATATCCATATGCTTTGGAGAGTAGATCTTTGTAGATTTGCAGACGGCTTAAAGTTTCACCTTCAAGAGAATAATTGAAATTACTGGGGTGTTCATTTTTCCAATTCTTCAATATCTCAATTTCTAAATTGTTGGGCTTTTTAGTGTTTCTTTTTCGATTTTTCAGTTTTTAATTTTTTGATTTTTCAATTTTTCAGTCTCACAATTTTCCAAATTTTTGATTTTTTAAAAGTTTTAATAAATTTGTCCTTTTGTTGAAAAATTAAAAAGCGAAAAATTGAGAAAATAAAAAATTAAAAATAAAATACTTCGAAGTAGGTAATTCCAAATTATTTTGTTTCGTCGATTTTTTTATTTCTCAATTCGAGATTTTTATATTTTTCATTTTTTTAATTGATAATCTTTCGATTTTTCCGTGTTTCGATTTGTCCATTTTTTTAGTTTTTTGATTTTCATTATGAAATTGTTGCATTTTTCATTTTTTAATTTGTAGATAGTTTAATTTTTCGATTTTCTAATTTGCTTTTTTAGATTTTGTATCTCTAATATTTTACAATTTTTTAATTTATCACTTTTTCAGGTTTCCAATGTTACAAATTTTCGATTTTACAGTTTCTATCTTTTTGTCAGATTTAATTTTTTTACGCTAAAATTTTTTGAAAAAATTTATAAAATATTTTCGAAAACTCGAAAACTATTCGAGTTGTTTTGAACAAAAGATGTATCAGATGTTTCAAACTATTGTCAAAAAAGAAAAAAAAGGGCCACTAAAAAGCTTCAAATTATTACCAAAAGAAAAAAAAACGGCTGCGTAAAAAATTGTTGAAATTCAAGAATATTTAAATCTGACACAATAACTTAGGTACTTTATCTAGTCACCTGGATTTTTTGTTATTTTTTTGCGATTTTTTTAATGTATTTATGCGAAATTCATAAGATGAAAGACCTAATTGTTAAAAACATCTATGGCAATTTCCTACAGTGTATACAGGGTGATTACAAATGGGAATGAAGAAAACTATGAATAAAGACATCATCCTTCCAAAATTAGTTTGAATAATAAAAGGCCGATTGATTTCATGTTATCAACACTAACTAGAGTAAAATATGGTTAAATGTCTAGAAGAAAAATGAAATTTTAAAGGCCTACCTATGTCTTCTACATATGGGGCCAAGGATTTTATTAATTGTTTTTCTTTGCTCAATAAGTAGTCCTGAACAACGTGACTTAGTGCACCCTGTATCTAATCAAAAAAAAACCTTGAACTGTAGTATTTTATTTTTACACTCTGTCAGTATTAAGTCAGTATTGTCTTAAAGCTAACTTAAATTTTGAGTATAATAAACTGATGCTAAATTCACTCAAATTGGTGAATTTTTTGAAAGAACAGCATCTTCTTCAGACAATAATTGTGTAATAAAAAGCAGTCGAAATAGTGTGGTTTTTATCTTATAAAATTTTTAGTGCGGAGTAAATAAGAAACTGCCATTTGTTTTAAAGCTTATATTATATACAATTTGTAATTAATTAATCCATAATTACATTTATAATACATATAAAACAAAATTTTGTAATAATAGTAATATACAGAGTGATTTAAAAATTGCTCATTTTTGATGCAACCTGTAGTAGGGTAAATGTGTACAAGAGTGCCCATACGTATAAGAGTACGCACTGATGATTTCTGCTTATTAGTGCCATCTGGGTAAGATGAAGTTATACCATTCAGAATTTAATGTTAAACCTGAGATGAAGGTGCAAAAGTGACCTGAATATAGTTTATAGTTTGGTCGTACTGACGATTTCATGTTCACACGTTGTGTGGATGTAATTTTAACCGCTCATAGTTTTAGGTTTTTGTAAGGTCCGTACCAGTTCTTTTATTTTACAGTAATAATTTTCATTAGTTGTAACTTTTAAGGTGTCGTTATACACTAACAGTTTTACACTTTCTGTCCATCAAAAGTTTTTAACTTTGAAAACATTAGGTTATGTACAAATGTACAAGAGTGCGCAGCGAGGTATTGTATAAGAGTGCGCACTGCTTGCAATACGTAGTCTAATAGTCTTGGAGATACATATCATACGATAATGAATTATTAAACTCTACTACTTTGTACTGCTTCTCAAGTTGTGTGGTGGTGGTTATGGTGTTTTTTTTTTTTATTTTTACTTCCTGAGTGTGTTGTAATTGAGTCCGTCGACCGACTCTCTGTTTTTACGTTTTCTCGTCTTTTCAAGACCTCTAGAGTACGAAGAAATAGGTATCCCGTTTTATGTGTAGTCTGTAGTCACTTATTCCCATTTATTTTCACCTTAGAAACAAATATTTTTTCATAAAATGTAATGCGTACTCATAAGCGTTCAAATTCGCACTCTTGTGCAATGAACTATCTAAGAGTGCGCATTTACACATCTTGACAAAAATTGAAATTACTCTTAAAATATAGTGGTGTTGGGGCGTACGATTAAATATATCTGATCTCTAAACATGTATATAACGAACCCATATCATAAAATTTGTCTATCCAAAAAAATTAAAAAGTTATTGACAGTTTTACACTAAGTGCGTACTCTTGTACACATTTACCCTACTACATTTTCAACTGAAAATTTTATTATTTTATTTTATTATATGAAATACAAATAAAAGGTGGATTAAATAACTTTCGAAAACCGGCAAAAATAAACGAAATGACTATAGACTAAAATCGCGTTATGTACAGGGTGAGTCACTAAGAACGCGGTTCTCGATATCTCCTTAATTACCAAAGATAGAACAAAAAAGTTAACTAAGTACAGTTATATACTTCTTTAAGTAGCATACTTACACTAACATTATTTTCAAATATACCTACAGAGTGTTCAGTTTTTGAGGCGTAGCACACAACTAGTTTTGTGTAAATATGTTTTTAACTTTTTACACACTTTGATTGGACTCGCTGTAGGCCTTATTACTATAGTTTACTTTTGAAATTCCGATGCAACGTTGCCACGTTATGCCATTTTTTTTTATTTTTTTTATTAACGCAAGGGTATTTTTATAATATACGTGGTATAAATAGACATAGACGTTTATTGTTGCATCAGTTAAATTAAATTTTTGTATACATAGTGTTAAAAAAAATCTATACCAATACAATTTTCAGATACCTACTTATACATAGATATTTCAACTTTCTCAAACTACCAGCTTCATATATAGAAAATACTTAACAAAAAATAAAAAAAAATAAAAAGCAGAGTAAGACACAGTAATAAAATAGAGTATTCTATTTCAAAAAATTGGAATCAATTTTTAGATTTTTTATGAACATTGTGTATATTAAGACTCAATTTAATTTGCACTACAACAAAGCGCGTATCTTTGTTTATTTCTCCATAAAATATTCTAACACAGTTTTTTTTTTAAACTTTGCGTTATCGCTAAGAACTTCAAGAAAATTTGAATAATGTGGCAACGTCTCATCAAAATTCCAAAGTAGACTATGGTTTTAAAGCCTAGGAAGATGCCAATGAGAGTATGTAAATGTATGCATATTTGGAATGTTCTGTTAAAAAAAATAAGTTTTGTGTTATATATCTTAAAACAGGACACTCTGTATAGTTGGAAATTTAATGCCTATCCTACGTAAAGAACTGCAGGTGTTTACAATTTAGTCTCTGTTTTTTTTTTTAATTTCAATAATTAATTAATGAGATATAGAAAAACGTGCGCTTAGTGACTCACCCGGTATATTAACAGAAATTAAACAGTAAAAGTAGAAAGTCAATTTCATTTTCGTTTTTTATTTTGTGTGATTTATTCTTTAGCTTATTAATTTTAAAGAGTGCTGTCTTACACATATAAACTGAGATTTACTCAGTAGATGGGAACCGGCGAAGCGTATTTTCGTATTCTACAAATTTCAGAGTTCTATGAAATTATAACTATATATGTTTATTTTACTTTTTCTGTTTTAAACACAAAAAAAATGAAATAGGCTATTTGAAATATTACGATAAAACACTATAATATAAATCTTAAAAGACAAAATTAGATTCTATTTTCGGTAGAACCGGAAATGTCAAAAGTTAGTTTTAAGTTAGTTTCTAAGAAGTTTTTTAGATTCTCAACTATACATAATTCATGTGTTACAAGGTAGGTATTAGCAGTTTTAGAGTAATTTAATCGTTCAAATGAGGTAGAGCGCTTATACCTATACCATAATTAATATAAACTGGAACAAAAAATCATCGATATCCATCTAGCATCACAAAAACACAACCCCATTTCATATTTTTAGGGTAATGGATTGTATGTACGTTTCCATAATTCACGAAATTTTAAACTTTTTATTTTTAATATAAATATATCGGGTGATTTTTCAAATTTTTACTCTAGTTGGCCATAGCGCTTAAAAAAATCACATACTTCTTTGTAAGAACACAAAAAATGATTGTTTATAAAATTATAAAAGTATGTCCTAGCTTGTGTACAATTTGAAGTTGGACAAGTTTCTGCTAAAAAACATCACTTACACCTTATTTGTGTAAACTGCCTCATACCAGTTGTGTCAAAATCGATGGTTACTTATCCTTCAGACTATGGGTGGAAATATATTAAAAGTAAACTTTTATTTACGCTAGCTACATATATCACGAAATAATCTGTACAACCCCCTTAACCCATTCCGAAAATCGCTCGATCGATCTCACTCCTCATAACGACCTAATCAAACAAATGGTAAGAACGACCCTTGAACCCAGAAGCAGACATCCATGTCCACCGTCTAAGAATACCTCATAAATTATGTTACCAGAATAACCCATCATTTGTAATAATGATGAATTCTTCCGAACCAATCAAATAACAATTTTATTTTTATATAGCGCCACTCGGCTAGAATGCAAATCAGCACAACTTTGCAAACAAACAAGCGAAAATTTCCATTTATACCCATCAATTAGGTAGTTAAAACCCATCAATTTTTTAGCACACGTGTCACCCAATCCATTGTGTTTTATTATTCTCTGAATTGATTAACGCAAATTTCTGTCATCCCAGCATTGACCCTTGGATAATCAATTACTGGAAAAAGTTGTTTGTGGCCGAGCCGTGACGCAAGTAGAGATTTGGGGAGGTGGTTAATGTATAGTAGTACGAATTTATATGAATTATGTGTCCTATTTTGAGAATACTTCCAATATTATACAAATTTGTTTATCAGATGTCTAGAAAGCCAACTCATAATCAAAATTTTTTTACTGCACATTTACTATTTCGTCTTCTTCAGAAAGCTGATTACATCATATCAAAAATTCTTACATATTTAATCTTTATTAATAAATCTGTAAGAAAAAAAAAATATATATATATAGATATACAAGGTGTTATCTTCAGCTATGTCTTAAAATCTCCACAAATAAATATTATACAAGAGTACCTATATCGTAACAATTTGTTTGCCATTTTTGACATTTTTTTACGTAATAATTATTCGAAACAGTTTAATAATTTAATTCCTATAGACACGCTGTATACCACACTAAAATTAATTTTTTATCCCCAGTATATTTAGTAAACGTAATTATTAACCCATTTTAAATACTTATTAAATATATAGGTACAAGAATACAGTTTTCTAAGTTAATTATAGATCAACATTTCCCGGATTTGATTTCATAAACTCCAAGTACAGCCTGTACGTCAGGCTCTGACTTATCTGAGTTTATCTGGATATAAATACTTGAACATTACCAAAAAAATGAAATAAAACACCCAATCTTTTAAATTATTAAGTATTTCAGCTTGTGACACGTTCGGCTAGAATAAGATATAGAATGGATGACGATGACTGAAATATTTTTTTCACACTATACAGTATCGATTTCAAATTCCATATTTTTTTCTGGATACAGCTACATGTAAAATTATTGATCGTCATAATCATGGTTATTTTGGTGTACACTTGATAATTTTCTTCTTCTGGACTTCCTGTATATCTCTGGGACGCGAAAAACGATTATTTGTGAACAAATTATATGGTGTAATTACATACCTATATGTATGATTTTAAACGTAAATTATTGATTCCTAGTGGTATAGTATTAAAATGAAAGATTGCTATATATGTTTTTATACTCCAGTCGAAGCAAAAACTGATGGAATCTGTATACTTATAATCATGACCATTCCAGGGAAATAAATGTCACTTGTTGCAACAAAAATCAATTTTCGTAGTTTTTTTGACTTTACACCTAAATTTGTTGGTGGACTTTACCTTCATTTTTTAAATTATACGTAATTAGCTTCGCAATTAAAAAAAAATACGCAATTGACATTTAAAAGAAAACCCCAAACTGGGTAATAATTCAATGACAAACTTGGAGTTGTGTTCTAATGACAACTTAATTAATTAATTAGTCAGTTTCAGTTTTCAGCTATTGATTATTGAATTTCTCGTCGGCTTGCTGATTGTTACATCAGAAACATATTTTTTTAATTGTGATTTTATCGATTATTTGTTACGTACAAGATGTCTCCTCAAAAATACGATAAAGGGCATATTTTGGCCACCCGAAGCCAGTAGGTGTATTTAGCGCTTTATAAAATGTCATTTTGTGTTTTTTCGGTTCACACCCTCTTAAAAAGTAGCGATTTGGCCTTACCTGCTACGGCACGAAAATTCTCTAAACGCACCAATCAGTCTTTTTCATAGTTCAAATTCGCACTATCACAACCTTAACACTACCAATCACAGCGGCTCTCGCGTCTTTGGCCAATCAAATCAGTCCACCTAGGAACATTCACATGTTCCAGGATCTCGAATCACGTTCCCGAAATCTTACGTTACGTAGCACGGAGTCGAAAAATCCTACCCATGCTGCGTCGATGGTACGTTACACCTGACTGAAAACATCCAGCAATCTCGCAGGTATAACTTTTCACTTCGTCGCCCCACCAGGTAGAATCTACGTGAATCTAATATGAAACACGTGCCTGATTCACCCGATTGGCGCCGCCTCTGGAAGGCTGCGATTGGCGCGAGGGCGCGGGGGGGTGGGGCAACGCGAGAGCGCGGCTCGCCATTGGTCGAGGATAAACCTAATCGTGATAAGTTATTCAAATCGAATTGATTGGGGAGTTGATTTTTTCTGTCGTTGCGGAGCGATTAATTTGGCGGCAATTGGTAATTGATTTGTTCTGTTGGTATTAATGGGCGAAATGGGAATCGACGGGAATGGATCGATGGCTTTATTAATTTCTGGGTATTTGTCGTTTTCATTTCGGGAGGTTATTATTTATTCAGGTTTAATTTTGATTAAAACTGGCCGATTGTTGCGATAATAGGGATGGGGCGGACTGGGACAATTTGTGTAATGGTTGAGATAAGGGATGTCACGGGGGGTGAGCATGGAAGAGCGTCACGTGGCGGTTTCGACGGTTGCGCGGATCAGGAAGTGATAGCAATAAAGATTAAATAAAATATAATATGGGTTTCGGGGGGAAGACGTTGGGTGGAATAATTTATTTCAATTTGTGGAAATGGGGACGAATTTTTTTAACGAATGTTTACTAAATTCTACCCAAAATTATTTAGTTTCAGAGAGTGAATTAATGTTATCTCCGCGTGTACCTACATATTATTTGCAAAATAGGTTAAAAGTACCTACGTAATATTTTTTTTTGCACGATTAATATATTGTTTTGTTAAAATATATTTACTGTTGAAATTATGTCCTAAAATATCGCTTCCGACATCCACATTTCAAAAGTAAATAACAATAACAAATAAATACGGCATAAAGTGCAATAAAAGTTATTTATTTTTTTTAATGTTCTATCTACTAATTAAATTCTAGAAATAAGTCACTTTTTAATTGTTACGACTTCTAAAAGGTAATTTTATTTTCTAGTGGATTGAAAGTGATTATGATAAGTACCTGTGTGTGTTTTCTGTTTTATTATTCCTATGTAGTACAACTTTGGACTAGGTATATAGGTAACCATAACCAAAAAAAACCAGTTTTACTTAAAAATGGTACATATTTAAATTTGCTGTGGTACCTTGTATACCTAGATATCCTTCATTACTTTTATAAATCAACGTCGTTGTGTCTGGTCATAAAGTAAGTTGTTTATACCGTGTGTCTCTGAATTATTACAAGTGATAATAAATTTTTCGACAAAAAGTAAAATAAGTTACGATTGTGATAAATAATTTGTTCTAATTATAAATATACCTAATAAAGCATACCTATGTACTTTTTATAACTGTTTTAAGTTAGGTTGGTATAATTCACAGCTGTCGGTAAGAATTAGGTAAAGTGCATTAAAAATCCATTTGATTTAAATTATTTAGTCCAAACTGTGATAAGATACCTATCTATCATTAGTGCGTCAGTCGTATCAAGAGTATCAAGACTTTCACATAAATAATTAGCATTGAAAGTTGTTATTTCCCGCATTATTATTGTGTGAAGTGATTTATAAGAATTTCTACCTACTGTTTGTTATAATCATTAAGAAAAGTATTAAAATATATGTCAGTACCTAGTTACATCTAATAAGAAAATATGTACCTACTTATAGTGCAGTATCTAGTATATTGAATACCAAACTCGATGCGCATTTTTCACTAATATTTAGTATGATTTAATAATTTTTTGAGATGACGTCGTCGGTTTCTGGAGGGAATGGTTAAATAAATTTTCGTAGATGTATTGAAAATAATTTAAAACTAAATTTACTTAAAAATATTATATATTATTATCGTATATAATCTGTCCAATAAAAACGGCAACTGGTGGTCGACAAACAGAGGGGGAGAATTACATTTTCGTATTCCATCAGCTGCGAAAGTGAAAAAATATATATTTTGTAGAAGCTTGAAAATTTTTGTTCATTGAAACATTTATTTTAGTGTTTTATATAGTTTATGCATTACAGATGAAACTCATTCATTCATTCATTTTTTTTATTTTTAGGTAGATATCTTTTATTTTTTTATCAACTGGAAATTAAATACATATCTATCCAAATGTTGGATACCGTTGTAAAAGCAATTACCTCAAGCTAAAAACAATGGCGTTTACAGAATTGCGATCTCTAAATATCCGTTTTTTAAGATATAAGAGCGCGGAGCTTTAATTGAGACACCGGTATATAATGATGTTTCCCTAATGGTTTTCCAGACCTCTATACCGAGTGTCTGGAAAATGGCGGATTAACTCTTCAGTACGTTATGGGCTTTAGGGAGTTTAAAAAAAACTAATAAAAAAAATTCTTTATGATCTAGATTACGAAAAAACTTTTATTTTTTATGAATCTGAAAAAGTCTTGAGTACCGCAGTGGGGTATCCATGGTGTATTATCTTGGGAGCCTATGGAGATTTTTTTTGTAAATTATGTAAAACAATTTTGAGACCCCTTTTTTTTTGAAAAATTTAAAACAATCTTGAGATTCTAGGTACTCCTGTTTAGAAAGAATCTGAAACCGCTTTGGAGCCTCTAGAGTCTTTTCCTATAATAATTTAATTAAATTTCTTAGAGGATACGTCATTTGCTAAAATCAGTAGTACCTTAACAGGTACTAGCCCCGCCCACCCACCCTCTCTTTTCTTAGAAGGTATCTCATTTGCCAAAATCGGTCTTATCTTAGCAGTTACTACCCCGCATCTCACTAACAAGTTACTAGCCCCGCCCACGCACCCTCTGTTTTCTTAGAAGATATATGTTTTGCCAAATCAGTCTCATCCTGGCAGGTATTAGCCCCGCCCACCCACCCTCTCTTTTCTTAGAAGGTATCTCATTTGCCAAAATCGGTCTTATCATAGCAGTTTCTACCCCGCCACACTTGCATCTCACTAACAAGTTACTACCCCGCCCACCCACCCTTTGTTTTCTTAGGGGGTATGTCATTTTTTGCCAAAATCAGTTTTATCTGAGAGGCTATCTCATTTTCCAAAATTAGTCTTATCTTAGCAGGTACTAGCCCCGCCCACCCACCCTCTCTTTTCTTAGAGGGTATCTCATTAGCCAAAATCAGTCGTATTTTAGCAACTAGTAGACCCGCCCACCCACCTTCTCTTTTCTTAGATATAGGGCAAGTAGTATAGTTAGTATCTACTACAATAAGACCGATTTTAGCAAATGGTATACCCTCGAAGAAAACACAGGGTGGGTGGGCGGGGCTAATACCTGCCACGATAAGATTGACTTTGACAAATGACACACCCTCTAAGAAAATAGAGGGCGGGTGGGTGGGGCTAGTACCTGCTAAAATCAGTTTTATCCTAGCAGGTACTAATAGCCCACCCTCTCTTTTCTTAGAAAGTACATATTTCATTTGCCAAAATCGGTTTTATTTTATCAAGTACTAGCCCCGCCCACCCACCCTCTCTTTTCTTAGAAGGTATGTGATTTGCCAAAGTCAGTCTTATCCTGGCAGGTATTAGTAAGGATAAAACTGATTTCAGCAGATACTAGCCCTACTACCTAGTACCTTCTAATCTAAGATCGATTTTAGCAAATGAGATACCCTGTAAGAAAATAGAGGGCGGGTGGGTGGGGCTAGTACCTGCAAAAATCAGTTTTATCCTAGCAGGTACTAGTCCACCCTCTCTTTTCTTAGAAAGTATTTCATTTGCCAAAATCGGTTTTATTTTATCAAGTACTAGCCCCGCCCACCCACCCTCTCCTTTCTTAGAAGGTGTGTCATTTGCCAAAATCGATCTTATTATAGCCCTGCCACCCGCCCTATATTTTCTTGGAGCGATCTAATTTGCCAAAGTCAGTCTTACCCTAGCAGGTAGTAGCCCCACCCACCCATCCTCATTAGCCAAAATCAGCTACTAGCTAGAATAAGAGTGATTTTGGCAAATGACATACCCTCTAAGAAACGAGAGGGTGGGTGGGCGGGGCTAGTACTTGCTGAAATAAGACCGATTTTGGCAAATGAGATACTTTCTAAGAAAAGAAGGCATGATGGAGAAATAACGTGTGTGAAAAAGCTGAAACTTGCAGAATTTTAGATTTTTTTATGAACACTCTGTATATTAAATTTGAAGAAAAGTTATTTTAACAATCAATTGTGGTAATAGTCTAGCGAGAGGCTAATGAAAATATGTAAAATTATATAGGGTGTTTCAATTAATGAACTTAAAAAGAGAACACTCTGTAGATTTAAACATTTTTTAGAGCATAATACCTAGTGCTCAAAGAACCGTACAGTTTGGTCTTAATCTTCAGAATTTTCAGCATCTCCATGCAGAATATCTCTAATCTTTCGGAACTTTCGAATCTCTGGATTCTATAAAGCCTTGGAATATCTGGAATTTTTGAAATTTCTGGAATCTCTAGAACTTTTCTACTCTTTATACTCTTCAAAATGTTCTGAATTTTTACAATTTTTTTGGAATCCTCAGCCTTCGAAGTACTTCAGAAAATTCAGAATCTTTGGTACCTTTAGAATTTTCAGAATCTACAAAATCTTTAGAATGTCCGGAATCTCTAGAATCCCGGAATATCCGGAATTCTTTAAATTTCTAAATTTTGAACCTTTGAACTCTTCATAATCTTTAGAATCTACGGAATTTCGAAGAATTTTCAGAATCTTTGAGATCGTTAGAATCTTCAGAATTGTCAGAATCTTTGGAATCATCAGAACCTTCCTAATATTTCGAATCTTTAAGAAGTTTAAAATTTTTTTGAAATATTCAGAATTTTATATTAGGTATATCACGTCTGGAATCTTTGAGACTTTTGGAATCTTTATAATCTTCCGAGTCTTCAGAATTTCTGGAACTTCTAGAATCCCACAACGTCTGCAATTTTTTAAATTTCTTGAATCTCTGGGACGTTTGGAATTTTTATAACTTTTGCAATCTCCGGAATTT